AAGCTCTTGGCAGGCCCAGGCTCGGGCTGCCAGGGCTGTGCCCGCTGCAAACCTCCCCATCTGGGCAGAGTCCTGAGGAGGGGCTGGGCACCCTTTGGGCACCTCAAACCTGGGGGTCCCTGAGGGCCGTGGGGGGATGTGGGGGCTGTTGCTCATTGTCTTGTGTCTCTCCCTGGGGCTGAGTGGCCTCTGTGGCCTCGTGGAGGAGATTCCAGGACTGGCTGCCTGGCTGGGGCACGGTGCTCAGCCCTGGGGCCCGAGGGATCCCCAGAGCTGTGGGGCTCTGCATTCCAGCAGCCGTGTCCAGGGAAAAGCCCAGATGGAGCCACACTGGGTCCTGTCATCTCTGTGCTCCAGCCACAGCTCTGAGGAAAACCTCCTCTTCCTTAAAGATGAAACAGATCCCAGCAGCAGTAATTTAAACAGCTCTGACTGCCTCCAAATGAAGGCCCTGATGGCAAATAGGCTGTGAAATCGGCTGAGGAAAAAGGAAAGCCATCTTTTTCCCAGAGTAATACTCGTTCCCGCGGTTCACACACAGCCTTGCAGGGTTTGCTGCCTGGTGCCGTTTCCAGCGGCTGCTCTTCCCTCCGCTGCCGCTCCGTGCATCCTCAGCCATTATCCCCCGCCTCCTCCTCCTCCTCCTCTCCCAGGCTGGGAGGACTCTCCTCCCTCTGCTTGCCCTCCGGAGGTCCCCGGCGGGTTCCTCGGTGGTTCCGCGGTGTTTCCCGCCCAGTACCGGTACCGGTGCCCGGGCCTCTTCCGTTCCGGTGGGTTGTTCAGCAATGCCGGCCCCCGAGCCCGCTCTCCACACAACCGGTGTGCGCTTCCAGGAGCGGATAGGTGGGATGGATGGGATGAATGGGATGGCAGCCAGCAGGACCCGGCTCCGGGGCTCGGGATGCGGGGAAGGTTTGCAGAGCTGAGCTCTCCCGCATTCGCAGCTCCTCTCTCTCCAAATGTGCTGCCTAAAGCATCTTCAGCCTCAGTGAAGCGTGAGGAAGCGGCACAGCGGGGCAGAGCAGGGAGCGGGCCTGGCTGCCTTTGTCGGCAGAACAAGGCTGCCGCGGCCCCGAGGGCTAAAAATACCCGCGGATCATACAAAATAGATGTGGGCATGGGTGAGGCGCAGCCCGGGTGCTCACTCACGTGGTGGCTGCTCACAATCCTGGTGGTTTTCTCCAGAGTGGGCTTCAGGGCCTCGGGAGGGGAGGGGAGCAGTGCCTGGTTTGGGGGGCTCTGCAGGAGCCCGAGAAAGTGTCAGAGATCACCCTGTGCTAAACTCGTAGGAGATAACTCCCTGCTCGAGCAGGCTGTAGATATTCCAGATATTTCTCAGGAAACAGAGCTTGGGGAGTTTCACCACAATGTTAACTATTGTGAACCACAAATGAATCGTATGAGCCGGGAAAAAGCGCTGAGCCCCCTCCAGGAGCACCAGCAGGAGCAGGTTACTGTGCCAGCCCCATGGCCGGTGGGGTTCGGGGGGTTTGGCTGCCAGAGCGGCTCCCGGCTCTGCCCGCGATGGAAGCGGGCCCGGGAAGGGGCAGAGCAGCCCCGCGGACAGCCGGGCTCGGCTCGGTACCATAGCGCAGCTCTGCCCGCTCCGGCGGCTCCCCAGGGGAGGCGATGAGCAGCCGAGAGCGAGAGAGCCGCGAATGCCAGAGCTCTGCTCTTGCATAACACCCGGGAAGCTTCCAGCGGCGCTGGGAATGCCCGCATCGCTCCGGAGATCCCCGGTGTGACGGAAAGGGAAGGAAGGGTAAGGGGCCGAGACGCGCACGGAGCTTTAGGGAGGCTGGGGGATGCTCCAGAGCCGCATCCTGCGGGCTCCCGGCACCGCCTCGCGTTTCCCGGCGTTTGCAGTGAGGATTGGAAATCCCTTTCCTGCTCTCGTCCTGCCAGGGGCTGACGCGAGCCTGGGCATCCCTCTCGGTGCCCGGGCATCCTTTTCAGTGTCCGGGTATCCCAGCCGGTGCCCGGACATCCCACCCGGTGTCCCGGTGCATGCACAGCCATGGAATCAGCGTCCCTGCTTCGGCTTGTCCGGGGCTCTTTGCTCCTCGCCACCCGCGGTGCCGGTGCTGCTGAGGACGGGGAGGGTCGGGAGGAAGCCCCGGGCAGCCCGCTCGGTGCCGGGGCCGCTGCTGGAGGCTCGGTTTTGGGGCAGAAACGGACAAAACGCGGCTCCTTTCGCGGCGCGGCGGCGGGAGCGTGTGCGGAGCGGGCAGAGGGTCCCGAGCCCCCCATCCCACCCGGGTCTCCCCGCAGAGGGATGGAGGGAGGGAGGGAGGGAGGGAGGGGAGCCCGGGGGCAGCCGCGGGGCGGGGCCGGGGCGGGCGCGCGCGCTCGGTGGCTCCGGTGGCGCGGACGCAGCCGCGTGCGAGGCGGCCCGGTGAGCGCAGCGCCCGGAGAGCCCGAGGCGGCCCGGTGAGCGCGGAGCCCGGAGAGCCCGAGGCAGCGCCGAGAGCCCGAGCCGCCGCCGGGAGATGCCGCTCGGCGGGCGGGGACCCGCGGCCGCCCTGCGCCGCCGCGGCGGGGCCGTCTGAGCGCGTGAGTTACCGGGGGCGGCGGCACCGGGGCACCCCCGCCCGGCGGCACCGGGGAGGGCAGCGGGGCGGCTCTGGGGAGGGATGCCCACCGGAGGGAGCCGCAGCGGGCGGCGCTGCCCCAGCGCATCCCGGGGGAGGCTGGCGGCGGCTCCCGAAGGAGCGGGGGAGGCCGGGCTGGCAGCGCCAAGCCCGGCACCGGGCGGTCCCCGCTGCGCTCCGGGATCCGGTTCCGCGGTGCCGGAGCCCGTGAGCGTTCGTGGCTGAGCCGGCCCGGTCAAGGGGCAGACGCGCGATGTGCCAGGGGCCCGTTAAGTTTGTGCTAAGGGATCGTTATGGCCCTTAATTAGCGACAGCTGCAAACAATAACCTGGCGCCAACGGTCATCACCGCCTCAGGTGAAGGTAATTTGCAGGAAAGTTGGGTGAGGTGGAGTCTGGACAAAGGAGGCACAAGAGAAGGTTCTGGGTCAGTTGTGGGGCAGAGCCAGGCAGGCGCGGCCGCTTCCCCTGGGCTGTTCTCCTGAATTCCTGTCTGGCTCCAGGGATTGCGCTGCAGGACGGGCTCCTGTGCAGGTACGTGCGGGGCTCGTGCACCGGGAGGAGCGGGTGCGTGGCCAGGGCCCCTCGGGGGTCCCGTGGGGTTCGTGTGCGGTGTGTGTGCCCGCCCGGTGCCGTTCTCCAGCCGGTCCCTGGAGCTGTGCGTGCCAGGAGCTGCTCAGTGCTCGCAGCATCCCCTGCAGCGTCACCCCCGAGGGCCGCGGGGCACACCTGGGGCAAAGAGCCGCGCTGTGGGGCACGGGGGGCACGGGCAGTGCCCGGAGCAGGGGCACGGGGAACACGGGCAGTATGGGGAGCACGGGCAGTATGGGGGGCACAGGCAGTGCCCGGGGCTGGGGGAGCAGCCTGGCAAGGCGTTGGCAGCGCTCGTGTGTGCAGGCGGAGGGATGGGGGGAGCAGGGATTTCTCAGCTTCTCACTCCAGTGAGCGTGACATTAACAATCCCAGCTATTTTCGGCTGCTTTTGGTGAGGCTTTGGCACTCGCTCGCTGCCTCCAGCGATGCCTGGCGCTGGGGCAGGGCAGCTCTGGCTGCTGTGCTGTGTCCTGGGGGGCACAGCCCGGGGTGGGCATAGCTCACCATTGATGAGTACCCTGTTCATTTTCCCTTCTGATGTGCCCATCGTTCTCTGGGATGTCCAGGGCCTGTGGTTCAGCTCTCAGTGTTTTGGGGTGCATCCTGCTGCCCGGTGCTGTTTGCAATCTGCTCTTACCCCGAGCTGCAGGCCTGGCCGTGCTGGGTACAGTGCAGAGATGAAGGCACTCTGCTTCCCAAACAGCTTCCTGTTTCCAGGCTAAAATGGTTGAGGCTTGATAGAGCCTCACAAAGCGAGAAATTAAGGCTGTTTTTTCTGGCTAACAGATGGAGAAGGAGCCCGGAGTTGCTAATTTTCAGGGAGGGCTGATTGCAGTGGCTGGGGCTGGCAGGGCTGCCTGGGCCTGGCTGTTGGTCGTAGCTCGTTCCTGGCTCTGGGGAGAGGTGCTGAGGCTCTGATTGTTGGCTCACAGAAAACCCTGAGGAATTTTTATTTCCCCCCACCCCCTTTGGAGTGGTCTGTGTTGGCACGGCAGGGAGCCCTGGCACAGGGCACACAGCCACAACAACGTGTGAATCTCTGCTTTTGGGCATGGAGGGGCTGGGAAGGCCCAGGCTGGCAGCGGCAGCTCCTGCTCCTCCCTGGCAGTCTGGGCACGGTGTGGGGACAGCACTGCAGGGCTGAGGGAGCTGGCACTGACAGGCACCTCCCTGGGAGCCCCCTTGGTGCGAGGCTGGCATCTCTGCTGGGCACTCCGTGCTTGGTGACAGGGCTGTGGCAGCGCCTCTCCTGTCCTGTCCGGCTGCTCCTGGGCCTGGGAGGCTTTAGGATGTTTTAGGATACAGACCCTGCTGTTTGTGATGCCCCCTTTGGAAAACCCCCCCTTGCAGCCTTGGCCAGCAGTGTGCCCTCCATACACCCCTCACTCACACAGCCCCTCTGTGACACAGGCTGGGGATTTTCCCTATCCCTGTTTCTCCGTCTCCCATCACCAGAACATGTCGTTCTGAATTACCAGGATGGCATCCCAGGCAGGCTGTGCTGGTGGCAGAGCTGTCCCTCCACAGCTGCTGCTGCTTTGCTGCCCTGCAGGGTCCCTCTGTGCCACCAGGATGGGACAGTTGAGTTCTGGTGCTACCGTGGCTGAGGGGAACCTCCCCAGCATTGGTGGGGCTGGAGCCAGCTGTGCTTGGGCACTGGGGGGCTGGGGGTCTTTGGTGGGTTTGAGCCAGCTGTGCTCGGGGCTGGGGGTCCCTGGTGGGGCTTACCCAGCTGTGCTCAGGCACTGGGCTGAGGGTCCCCCCAGTGCCCTCTGCAGCAGCAGCAGCAGCTTGGGCCCCGTTCCTGCTTTGGGGTGTGAGGGTTCTCAGCCGTGCATTCCCTGACTTGGTTTGTCGGCGCGGCTCTGGCTGCTCGGCTGACGGTGGATAAATCCCTCTGAAGGTTATTGAGATAATAAAAGGCGTGAGGGAAGTTCCGGAATTTATTTGAGTTCTCTTTTAATTTACAGCCTTTTGGGGTGAGAGCTCAGTGCATAATGAGTCCTGCTGGCAGATCTGCTCCTTTCCAAGGGCCGTGGCAGGGAAAGGGGCGCTGGGGGCAGGTTTGGGTCAGGGCAAGGTGGGGAGGTTGGGATGGAGGTGCTGCAGTCGTGGAGCTGAGCCTGGAGTTCCTTGGGCATCACCAGGGGGCTGCTGATGCCAGCCCAGAGCTGTTCCATGGGAGTGCTCCATGCCTGCCTGGCCTGGGCTGCTCGGTGCTGCTGACAGCAGCTTCTCCTTCCTCCTCCTCCTCCTCCTCTCGCTGTCCAGGCTACTGTTGGTGCTGTTCCAGGGCTTTCTGCTGGAATTGTTGGAGGTATTTTGGGATGTGTGTTCCTGCAGATTAATTGACAGGCTGGGGTGTACCAGATGAGGAAGCAGAGTCTGTCATTTTGTTGGTTACTGAGGTTCCAGTTGTTCTGCACCCTGATAAAGCAGTCTGAGGCAGCTCTCCCCTTTGCTCTGCTCGCACGCAGATGCTCCAGGCATCCTTGGCTCTTCCTGGTGAGACAAAATTGAATTTCTAACGGGTAAAAACACACACAGGAGCCCAGGATCCCTTTTGCTGTTCCAGTACCCCCTGTGGATGTGGATGTGTCCCCTCCTGCTGCCACCCTTCTCACCTGGGGGGTTCAGGGGCTGAGAGGATGGATCCTGAGCGGGAGGAAGGGCATCCACAGGGTTTCCTGGCTGGAAAAGCTGATTTCTCCCCGTGCTTTGCTGTTGGTTTTCCCAGAGGTGGAAGGAAATGCACACTCCCATGGACCTTGCCAGGTTGCTCCATTTCCCCTCCAGGATGCTTTTCTACCTGGAGGGAGAAAAAAGCAAAAAATGGCTTTTCTGGAGTCTGGGCTGGTGCTGCTGTGGGAGGTGTGAGACACTGGGATGAGGATGAAGATGAGGATGAGGATGGGGTTTCCAGGCCCCAGCAGGTTCCCTCCTCTCCTCCTGGGCCCCTCTGGCACTCAGCACTGCCCAGGAGCTGGGGTACCATGGGATTTACAAGAGAACCTGCACTGGTGGGTTTGGGATGGAGCCGCTGCTCCCTCTGGGCAGCCTGGTGGGTCTGGGGGCTCCTGGGGGTGGGAACGTGGGCATGGCCTGGGAGTGAGCTCTGCCAGGGGGATCTGTGAGGGTGTGTGCACAAACAGGGCGGCTGGAGCTGGGGAAGTCACCACAGCTGGAATTTATGAAAGTGATAAAACAGCTTTTGACAACAGGCTCAGCTCCAGGCAGCTCCTCTGCAGCAAGAGAGAATATTTTCCTCCTGTTGGATCAATAAACAATTAATTCTAAAGCAGGAGCTGGAGCAAAAGGGAGAGTTTTCCAGGCTTCTAAACTCTTAATCAAGCCCTGGGTGAAACACAGATGTGAGAATCTGAGACCTGCTGATAAAATCTTGACCTTGATAACGGGTTCCTCAGTTCCTGGGCCATGGATGATACTTCTTAGCGGAATAAATCCTCTTGTAAATATAGAACTTGTTCCCCAATATTTATGCTTCCAACATGTTTAATGTAGCTTTGCTTAATAATCTGCTTCAAAACGCTGACATTCCCCCCACATTTTAATTGGAT